AAAGCTGCAGTCCTGGCTTTAAGGCAGTTGTCTTAATGCATATGGTTGGATATTTCAGCGATTTATCACCACCACCAAGGCGATCTCTCAAGAACAGAGGACTGAAGAAATCAAAATCTTTGTTTTCTTAAAACGAAATGGAAGATTATTCAGATGCTGTAATATTGAGAAAAGTACTAAAATAGTCAAGAGAGTTAAACAAAGTACTGTCAAATCACTATCCAAAAGTTGTTTTTTGATCCTTTGTTTTTACTCTTATGAAAACAGAATCGTTTATAATGATGGAATAAGTCTCTCAATTGTATCTAAAAACATGAACTTTCAGATTGAAGAAATCTTAATTTCATTCTCAAACTGCCTAATAATATAAACTATGACAAAATTTTGTCAAAAAGTTTTTTGTAATCATCTCATAGCTTGTTTATTAACAAAGATAGAAGACGAAAAGAGAACTAGTAGTAATAAAAGTTATTATGAGAGGAGGAAGGTAGGAGCTATATGTCTACTATTTTCATTTTATTAGCCAATCAGATGGCTCCATGTCACACCCCTCTCTCACCCACCAAATGGCCTGTTTTGAAACACACTCGCTCCTTTTTTAAAAAGCCTCGCGTGCGTGAATTTTTGTTTTTTCTTTTATCAAAACCTTATTAATTCCAACGCAAACCGAACGAAATCAGTTATAATTTCAAAAACCATGTACACTAAACCGAAATCAAATCTAATTTCAAAACCAATGAAAACCGAACCGCTCGTCCTCATCGGAATAATTTCTTCTCCCTCCGACGAATATTTCTCAATGGGAAAAGATTAGACAACAAAAAGAGGAGAAATCAAGCGTACCTCGAAGAAGAAGAAGGGAAAGATTTTGCCACATTCCGACCTGAACTATTTTCCATCTTCACATCCTTATTACTCAAGCTTGAATCATGCACTGCTTAAAGCAAAGTACTTGCCATTTGCTTCTCCATACAAGACAAGACTTGAATCAAGACTGTACACTCAAAATGTTGTAGTTTTGCAGCTCATAATCACCAACGCCATTAGCATCAGACTCTATAATAAATCCACAAGCCATTGAAGTACCGATTTCAAATCCTCTTAACCAGAATCCATGTCCTCCTCAACTCGATGGGTTCAATCGCTTTTGAACCCACAATCGAAGAAAGAACACCACAGGAATACGAACTTGGGAAATTCCTACATTGATCGCCAAGGAGACACCATCAAAACTGTAGTTCACATGGTAGTAACTCGAGGTAATGGAGAAAGAGAGCTTCAGGTGGCATTAAGTGATTTTAATCAAAATCGCCATTTTCGTCCTTCTGGAGAAGGGAAGAGTGTTAATTAAGCTAGATTTATCGAAGGAAATTCCGACAACAGGGATTGTAAAGAAGAGATTGTACCGGAGAGCTCGCAAATCGGCGGCGGAGACGGCGATGGAGTAATTGTTAGGATTTTGAAGATGAGCTAGAGGAGGTCGGACGAAGAAATTAGGATTAGGGTTTGGAGGAGGAACGTGATGAAACAAGTTCGGATTAGGGATTTGATAGTGTGGAAACGACGGTGGTCGATCCATGAGTTCCGGCGACGGCCAACTTCACTGGAAACGTTGTCAATTGTGTGTG